AATGGCGAAGAACTTAGCTGCGCGACGTGCGGTACGATGAAACACAACTGTGAACTTACTGAGTAAAACTAAACAAACCACGATGAACATTACGGTTAAAACTTAAATACATGCTATGTTGCGTAACGTTACGAAATGATACAAAGCATAGCGGACGCAAAATCTCTACTGCAATTAGTGCCGTTTGTAAAGGAACAATAAAAGAAAAAGAACAAGGCGTTTGTGATGTACATTCGGGTGTAAAGAAAATTAAGTTGATAGAGAAGCGTTAACTTCCTTGATGTTCAGTTGGAAAAAATTGACTTTTTTGTGGTGACATTCACCCCACAAGGATCATGTCATAGAGAGCGATCTATCGCTCTCTCGACAGCAATTGGCGGACAATCGCGAGGACACTGCTTTAAACCAAATGCACGTTAGTACATTTACTTTGGATTTATTGCAATCACACTTTGAAATCATGTGGCACGTGGTGGAAAATGAAAAAATCGAGTACTAACTCAAACATAATGACCGAACTGAATGAGGAGGGAAACGAAAATAGCAATCAAAATAACGATGACTCACGCTGTCAAACTCCCACGAGGCTAAATACAAGATATTTTGCGATCTAAGACTCCGTGATATCGTTAACACCACGTCTTTCTGCTGCCTACAATTATACGAAACCTTACATGACGATGAGCGTGACTTTCGTGAGACAATCGCAGTCATCGCACGGTTTCGGGAACGCGATATCCGAATAACGCCTCGTCTGAAGGCTTTTCACAAACCTTTCGGCTTGAAAGAATGGAACTGGCGGTCTTTAGTTCCATTTATTGCACATGACCCTGGAATGAGGAACACGAGCGTTAAGTAAGAATTTCCGGGATTGTGTATACTTTAAAATCGCTAGATCAGATATATTTTCTGTAAACATGATGGTGGGGGATGCTAGGTATGCGAGGTAACCCGTCTGTCCACCACCATTACATGATAGCTGGGGTGACTCGCCTTAGCAGGCTCCCCGATCTGCCTGGTAGGGTAACCCTGACAGCTGGGTTCGCAACTTGCCACGTACACGTCTCAAAGTGAGGTTACCCGCCTAGCCGGGGTCGCGTTCATTGATTACATTTGTAAGTGTAAGACAACCTCACCCCGGGATCCCGGAGTTGTAAGATTGTATGTAAACACAGGCTAATTTTCGACCACGGCTTGGCGGGTTACCTCACTTACTTTGGTTTCCCCACCTTGTAAACAAAGCCTGAATGCGGAAATTTTTCTAGTGAAGAAAACAAAGTAACTTTTTGAATCGCTTGACATTTCTAATTAAACCATCTGATTGATTTTTGATCGCTGGTAGGAGCCTTACTGCTGAGCATTTAGCGCACCCGTAAGTGAGCCTTTCCGTTTGACTACGTCAGAATAAACCTTATGACCTCGCTATAGTGACACTATTGAAAAATGAAGGAAGAAAAAATCGATTACAACTGCCAGGAATTAAGTACAAGCCAGGGGTAAGGGAGATGGTAAGCAGATGTTCTTATTTCTCATCACAGATACAGGTAAAACAATTCCCATTGGTGATAAACCGAGTCCGACAATCCCCCACGGGGGTACCTATGGTCCCACAACAGCTGGTACTGAGGAGTGGTGGAATGTTCGTCTTCCTGATTTTATAACTCCAGTACATTATGACGTTATGCTATACATTGACTTGAAGAAGCTGGAGTTTTATGGAGATGTGGAAATCCTTTTGAATGTTGAAAAAGTGACTGAAGTTATCCTTGTTCATGTAAACTTGATGAATGTTACCTCTGCCTCAGTGGTCGAGGTTTCAAATGAAGGTAAGGAGATGTAAACATTCTCCGCTGAGTAACTGTTATTAGACTCTTATCAGTGTGTGTAGTAAGACGAATTGCAAAGGAACCGTTGCAAGCTTTCATGAGAGGAGGTAGGATCAGGGTGAGGGAGCAGATCTGGTGGAATTTGCTTCATGACGCAGCCATCGTTTCCGAAAATAAAGGATTACAATTAAAATTATTGGCACGGACGCAACGTAAATGATCGTCTCTTACGTTTTTCGGAATATTATAACTATCTTTAGAACAGCATAGGTGATAACTCAAAAGAAAAAATGAAATTACATCGCGTTTGATTTTACATTCGAGATGGAGCTGACTCAAAACTACTCGCATCTCCTCCCATAATTTGTGTTCAGTTTAACTTCGTCTCGTTTGTAATAATAATAATAATGATAATGACCTTTATTAGTATACTTCCACATGGTGGCTCTTCGCTACTAATATAAAAACTAACTATATGCATAATACTTGCAATAAATCAAAATCGTTTGTTTTTGCTTTTTGCATTCGACAAGAGTAAGGTATTTTGGAAAATGAACTGAAGCTGAGAACGCTTGAATGACGAAATTTAATGCCCTTTTTTCATATTTGCTCATTGATAAAATATTAAATATCCGCGAAGTCAACTATCAATAGCTGAGGCATAATTCAGAGCAGGTTTGAGTCATTTGTTTATATTATATCGTGCGATGCAGGTAACTGGTTTATCTTGGTCTTTGGTAATGGGTGCAATCTTTTTTTTAAATTGAACTTTTTCCAAATTTATCAGAGTCACTTGAAATACGGGACAAGTTCAAGTTTGACAAAAATCAGTTCTATGTTCTTATCATGAAGTCACCTTTGAAGAAAGGTGAATACAAAGTCAAGTTGGAGTTTAAGGCGTGGTTGAGGGATGACCTCGCTGGATTGTACAAGAGTACCTATAAAAGAAAGGGTGGACGAGAAGTGTAAGTTACCAACTTCATTAATCATTTTATCAAGCAACACCATGCCACTTATGGTTATTCGTAGAGGACCGGGGGAGAAGATTGAACAGAGGAATAAAAATCAGCCGATCAGTACTATAACCATTCATTTCTCCCGATCCGAATCCCAGCGCCTCGTAGAGAAGATAACCTGTATATGTACTGTTACCCTGACTAATCAACAGGGCTCAACTATAATTCATTTTACCTGCAAAGAAATAAACAGTAACAATAATAACAACAACGACTTCACCAAGAAAGAAAGGGTTGTCATGTCACTCCTTCGTTCGCTTACCTGTCCGGTAGTTCCTTGCCTATCTCAGTTGATTTAATCTCCGACTCTTTCCTTTTTTCACCGAGCTCTAGCTCTATTAATAGATACTTACTGGGCTCGAAATTGCTAACAACACTCTCTGGACCTGTTGATATCATTGATTCTTCGTACTGTCTCTCAAACTTGGCATACCACTTAGCTAAATGAACTCTTAACTCAGTAATGCATCAATGAATTCTTTGCAGTAAATGGTTTGAACCCGGGGGTAACATGTGAAGGTGTAGTCTGATCGTCCGGGTGAGTGTAGTCCTGAGAAGGACTGTTGTCGGTGGTNTAACTTTACCGACAGATCGAAACAGACCAATCACGACCGACTTACGTCACTTGAGTCTTACAGCCAATAACATCACGGCAAAACCAACCGATCATTTCACACGAACTGGAATAAGAACATTCTACTGACAACAATCATTCACTTGACTCTGATGATGACTTCCGCACAGGTTGTCGAAACGTCAGTCACTACCACCGACAACAGTCCTTCTCAGGACTACACTCACCCGGACGATCAGACTACACCTTGAAATGAATTCTTTGTTTGGTGCTGAGCCAGTTGAAAGACATCTAACTTAAAGAAATCATGGATTAGTTAGCCCTTGAACCTTGAAAAGTTGTACGCGCCATCACTGATTGTGAGAAAAGTTTTCTTGCCTGTGAAAATCCCACATACTGTCATCCCCACGTTATCAAAATAGTAAGAAGAAACAGTGTTTGTTTTATCACAATTATGTTTTGATCACAGGACAATTGCAGCGACACAGTTTCAGCCCACTGATGCACGAAGGACGTTTCCTTGTCTTGATGAACCTGCACTTAAAGCCACATTCAATGTGACCCTGGTGCATCATCCAGATTATATCTCCATATCTAACATGCCAATCGAGAAAACGGTAACGAGGAATGAATGGCAGTTTGATCGGTTCCAGAAAACCCCAAAAATGCCAACTTACTTACTTGCATTTGTAGTGTGTGACTTTGCAAACAGGACTGTGACTTCCAAAGGTGGCACAAAGGTAAGTGCTTGATTCTTTATCCAAATCAGGTGAAAGGATTTTCTCTTTTGGTGGCTTTAGTATGTCATCGAATATATCCAAAGAGGTGGAAAATGGGTAATGACAGGGAAGGTTTGTAAAACATGCTTAGTAGCTTAATTTTTTCTTTTTTCCTTCACATCTCGCGGAATTCGTAGTCATTCGATTTCCGCTTGTGGTGTACTTGTCAGTTGCTTTTTTTCTCTTTCCTCTATTCTTATCTTATTCGAAAATGCAGTGTTGGTTGTTTCTCGAAGCAAGAATTAAAATGTATTTTGTCGTTTAAACCATGCTGCTTCGATACAAATGAAGAGCAATACATAATAGAAATAATTACAAAAATGTGCGGGCTACAAAATGCATAGAGTAAGGACTTACTCTTTTCAAACCCGCAGAGGAAGATTGAACATGAAATCTTTAATGTGACATGCGATGAAAATGTAAACCAAATCAGCTTTCTTGTTATAACGAAATATAGTATTCAGCTTTACCCTGGTGTACTAATAGTGATTCAAATTCCTCGCTTTTCTTCGGTAGATGACATTTTATGCTCCACCAGATCAAATTGATCAAGTAGAATATGCTAAGAATGTCGGTGTCAAAATGTTGGATTACATGGAGGAGTACTTCAGTATTAACTATCCTCTCCCTAAAGCTGGTAAGTTTTTACCTTTGAGTTCACATATGTAAGTTCATGGCGTCCATTTAAAAAGTGGTTGTTGACTGGCGGCTTATTAGAGATGTCTTAGAGAGCATTCAAGGATTAAGACGTATGCTATAGACTGGTGGCTTATTAGAGGGAGGCCTCAGAGAGCATTTAAGGTTTATGACTGTAATTTACTAGCACTACAGGTACAATACGTGACCAGAAAAGCTATTCATTGTCGGCTTCTGCAAGCAATTTCTACTCAATTGTGAACAGTGAGGAAGAGTATAAATTCTACAAGTACATAATTTTAAAAGTTGCCACGCAAAGTTGTCGCGCAAAGATCACTGTCTTTGATCGTTTTTATTTTTATTATTATCTTTTGTGTGGCCACTGCCTCCTTCATCAGGCGAAGCCGAATAGGTTGTGGAGATGAGTGCGTGAGTGAGTGTAACAAGAGAATTCCGATCTTGACCAAATTTTGGCCTGATGTTTCCTGGTGCTATACTACTTATTGTTATTTCGGAGTATCTTAGTAGTTCGACATTCGCACTCGATACACTAAGGAGTTGTCTCCTATACGATTTCTGGCTTACAGCCACTAGCAAATTATGTTTCCTGTTCTTGCCATGACACCTCAGAAGACAGCTTCATCTCTCAATCATTTCAGAATTCCAAGCGATTTAAAGCTGACCAAACTTTCCTGACAGAGATATCTCAATAAATGTGATCTGCGCAGCATGGAAGCTTTGAGGACATTTTTTTCTTTGAAAAGAGAGCATTTTAGTGTTTAAATCAGCGACTTATGCCGAAGAGGGCTGTTAAATTTGCGAAGCGAGCAAGCCGCAAAATACAATAACGTGAGTTATTCGACAGAATGATGCAACAGACGAACGATGGATTGGCGGAATGACGGAATATCTTTACCCGTGGAAAGGGGAATATCCTAAAACGCAGAATGCCTTCAAAAAAATGCTTTAAAAATTGTGTTATACCAGTAGCCGCATCCAGTCTTTAACGGTCTATTTTTCAAATGCATTCCTGTCATTACAGTGTGTAAAATATGGTACAAGTGAGAAAACGCAATCACTCAACCAAGAATGTGTATCTGATATAGAATACCGGTCTCACTGGACTCGCGAATATTGTGAGCGAAGTCATAGTGAAATATAAGAATGGATAACAGACAAAATGACAAATGTTTATGTGTATGTAGGTCTCTGTATTTGTTTTTGTTTTGTTTTGGTTTGTTTCCTTTTTTAATTGTTATATGGGTTTCGCCTCACAAATCACTACGTAATGGAAAACAAAGCAAAATTTTGAGGAAGAGCCTGCCCTGAGGCTCCCCAAATTAGCCTATGCCCACGTGACTTTAAGCACCTGCCCCTCCACCCAATCGAAAATTTCAAAAGAGTCTAATGCCCTAAAAAGTTTGAACTGTGCTCTAGTTCACGCGTTTACGACTTTCACCTTTTCAGACATGATTGCCATTCCTGACTTTGCTGCCGGTGCTATGGAGAACTGGGGACTAATAACATATCGAGAGACAGCACTGTTGTATGACCCGGTTGCTTCATCAGAGTCAAACAAAATGCGAATAGCTTCAGTAGTGTCCCATGAACTTGCTCATCAAGTAAAGGCAGTTTTATCTTAATGAGAATTTTATTTATCAATAGAGCTAGAACTCAGTGAACAGTTATTTAATTCTTTGCCTCTTTCTTGTGATATAAAACTTCTTATGGAATCAAATATGGATACGTTAAAACTCATTTTTCTCAGTTTTTGAAATGAAAGCAAATAGGTTGGTGATAAAACCAACCCCAAAAGCTCGACATTCTTTAAGGTGGTCAATTTACATTATTAACTCAGTTGATTAAACCAAATTTCTTTGAGTGGTAAGTTCGTTATACATGAGATTAAACAACGAAGAAAGATGACAATTTAGTTGTGACTGGAATAAAGCCTAAACCATTAGAAAGTTTTCCCATCAACAACGGAGAGGAAACACTTCAAAGTTTTCATCACTGATGGAAATACACATTTCCGTACAATACCGCTGTAAACTTTGGTCGGTTTCTTTTACGGAGATTATTGCTCGTGCATTGATAAAGGAGTAAAGGCGTATTGGCAGCAAAGAAATTTCCACTCATTTTTGACAGCTTTGTTGCACCAAACTTACCTCACGTGAGCAGCATTGTTAGCAGGTTACAGAATATCTCTAGATTATGATTGAAATTGTTTATTGGGTTTTTCCTAAAGTGGGTATCGCTTTTATTGGTATTTTACCTCAATGGCACCATGTTGATTCCAGATACCACTACTTCCAAAGGTGGCACAAAGGTAAGTGCTTGATTCTTTATCCAAATCAGGTGAAAGGATTTTCTCTTTTGGTGGCTTTAGTATGTCATCGAATATATCCAAAGAGGTGGAAAATGGGTAATGACAGGGAAGGTTTGTAAAACATGCTTAGTAGCTTAATTTTTTCTTTTTTCCTTCACATCTCGCGGAATTCGTAGTCATTCGATTTCCGCTTGTGGTGTACTTGTCAGTTGCTTTTTTTCTCTTTCCTCTATTCTTATCTTATTCGAAAATGCAGTGTTGGTTGTTTCTCGAAGCAAGAATTAAAATGTATTTTGTCGTTTAAACCATGCTGCTTCGATACAAATGAAGAGCAATACATAATAGAAATAATTACAAAAATCTGCGGGCTACAAAATGCATAGAGTAAGGACTTACTCTTTTCAAACCCGCAGAGGAAGATTGAACATGAAATCTTTAATGTGACATGCGATGAAAATGTAAACCAAATCAGCTTTCTTGTTATAACGAAATATAGTATTCAGCTTTACCCTGGTGTACTAATAGTGATTCAANTCCTTCTAGTATTATGTGTTGTTAACTTTATTTGATGTTATTTTCAGTGGTTTGGTAATCTGGTTACTATGGAATGGTGGGATGATCTGTGGCTCAACGAAGGTTTTGCCAGCTTTGTGGAGTATTACGGTGTCAATGCTACAGAGCCTGACTGGAAAGTGGTAATGTCTAATTTGTCCGTCAGCTAAAACCATTTGTTTTACTTATCTTTCGGGCACCAAAGGTGACAGCGCACTTGGAACGACGCAAAGTGCTCAAATCTTGATACCTGAAATCAGGTTTATTTTTCGCTTTCTCCTCAGAAGTTTTATTTTTGTACCGTTAGGCAAAAGTTCACACTGAAAGATTTCATGTTACTTTTTCCTCGCCACAGTTGGATCAGTTTGTAGTAGCAGATTTGGTTTATGCATTTTCACTGGACGGCTTAGCAAACTCCCATCCGATCAAAGTGCCAGTAAATCATCCTGATGAAATCAATGAGATATTTGATTCCATCTCCTATAACAAGGTACGCCTGTACAAAAGTGGCTTGGTACATAAAATATTTTGTAATCATCACTTACAAACCCAAGTAAACTCGCGCACTGTAATGTACAATAAACCTCCGTTTACATTTCAAGGTCTACTGCAAACGTCTTCCTATTACCTTGACCTAGGAATAGAATTACTATAGACCGACAGTATAAAATGTTGAAATGAAAGGAATGAAAGTATTTTTAGTTGTTTCTTGCGTGGAGTTTATAATCTATATCATGATTCACAAATTTAGGGGAAATAAAGTATGTGAATCTACCTCCTTTATGTTATTTTAATTTGCTTGTTTGAACTTATAACTCAAAAAATATATCTGGTTACTCAACATTACCCATATTAACGTTGTGGTATCAAGCAGAAGGTAATACTTTGGTTGCTTCAGTTACATGGGTTCAGTCCGGGATTCTTTTGCTTCATCAAGTCATGTGAGTCATTTTTCATATTTTCTTTGCAGGGAGCATCAATCATTCGCATGCTTCAGTATTTCCTCGGACGCAATGTCTTTTTGAAAGGCTTGACAGTGAGTAGAGTCTCCAAGAGAAAAGATCGACTCTGAGCTAAGAATCAACGCTCGTGACAATTTAATCAACATTATAGAGCACAGCATAGAGGTTAACGGAGAAAAGTTTGTCTGTGTAATGGGGCTGAACCAGGGCCGTTATACCTAAGAAAAAGAAAGACTTTTTGTTTCGGACCAGTTAAACTAAACTGCCGACATTGGGGATATTTAGAAATTAGCTGGCTCAAACAGCCAGCTTGAGGTGCTCACATCAGTTCTCAGTTGTTCCACTCTCTTTCGGGTGAGCTATCTTCTGTTTGGGAAAAATTATTGGTAAAAATTTCACTAAGCTGTTTGAAAACTACCGAATACGGACGTTTCCAAGACAAGTCCGTCTGTTGCAATTAAAAACTTAGCGCCTACGATGACAACAGCTGAAGCAAAAATAGTGAAATAAACAACGTATCAAATCAAAAAGAAGAGGGTCGGCTACAGATCGCGAGCGCGATCCTGTAGACACTTGCAGACATCAAGACAAAACTAAATGTAACAAACTGAAATGATCGGGAAAGGCCAACCAACGTGCACAGGGTATTTTAAGTGACTGATTTGAACGGAGCTAAATAGTAATCTGTATCGGTTTACCAATTGAGACCGCTCGAGATTGAAGTTCGATTACCTAGCTTTCGATTGTTTACTCTAGAAAAGTAATTTTTTTTTGCGACCATTTATTTCCTCTAGAACTATCTGAGGAAATATGAGTATAGAAATGCAGTAACTGATGATTTGTGGAAAGCTCTTGCAGAGGTAATCTTAATATTTGTTAATTTTATTTTTTAGAACAGCTTTTTTGCAGAGACCTTTTAGGAAATCTTAAGTTTCAGCTTTGTCGCACCTTACAAATGGCGCTCGCCTAGCCGTTTTCCATCCATTCCGAGGCGTTCATTAAACGCGGAGGGATAGAAGCGCAGGGTGAAAGAAGGAGGAAGATTGGGTCGGATCACTCGTCCCAATCCCCCTCTTTTTTTCGTGAAATGCTTCTGTCGCGCCCCGTTTACCAATTAAATGCACTGAAAAGCAAGCCGTTCTCGTAATTTGCCTCAAGTCTCCCAAACGACAATGACAAAAGACTACAGATCCGTTGACTTAAAATAAAGTACGTACCTTCACTGACACTCAGTTTTAAACTTACGGCCTTTTTTTGTTTGGTCAGGAAAGCTGTACTCAAGGAAAATGCGTCAGCGTCAAACAAATGATGGATACTTGGACTCTTCAAATGGGCTACCCAGTGTTGAACATCAAAAAACAATCGAGTAATAAATATCAAGTGTCACAAGAAAGGTTCCTTTACGACCGAAATTCTAATATCTCTTCTAAATACACGAGCCCATTCAAGTAAGAACATCAACCTATTTATTTATTTTTTGTTTTCATGTATTTATTTATTTATCTATCTATCTAATAAGTGAATATGGAGTTTGAAACCTTAACATCATTCAATTAAACCGCATGGTTTCAGCAAGAATGTGCTACAGTACGTCAGATCCTTGCTATTAGTTACCAACCTCGTTCCCAGAGCCTTTTCCCTTAGCTGGGGGTGGGGCGGGCCGTGCTTTCATCTGTTTCTCGGTTTCTGGACACCCCGGTCAAACACTCGCACTCGTTTTTGATATATTACGTCAAAATGATCAAAGAAACGGGGCCATTACTTGAAATGAAAAGTAATTAATGTTACTTAAACATAATCGAAGCTGAACATGGGCAAACATTTAGTTTAACTACTCAGCCCATCAGTAATATTTCAGCTGGCTAAAATAAGTTTTCTTTAGTCATCATTATTGATAAAGGTAATCATGGATCCTTGAACAAACTCAATCAATGACGTTCATCGCGAGCGTTTAAGTCGCTCAACAGGGATTGGAAAGTTTTGCTTATTTGTAAGATAAAGTGTCTGTGTTTATCAAAGGTTTAAGTTGTCAATGCTAACTCTCGATCTGCGTAACTGGGAGGTAACAGGTCCTTTAAATTTGCTGCAAGTACGAGAATTAAAATTGCGCAGTCGTGTGCGAATTAAAATTTAAAAATTAAAATTTGCAGTCGAGTGCGAGATAACGCAACAAGGAATTTGTATTTTTATCGCACTTTTTTGTTTTATTTCTTTAGTCGGTTTAACTGTTCATCGAAAAAAATGGTATTATTTCGTTTGAAAAAGAGCACTTTTACCTAGTTAAAAAGGTTGAAAGAACTGGGGTAACTGGGTGCGAGTGTATTGCATTTGAAGAGGGTTCCAATGGGGTGCCGGTTTTTATGGCTAATGGTTAAAATGTCGGTCACTTCACGGCTACGGTTAACCCAAAATGACACATTGTAGGCAGAAATAACCTTTTACGGTTAACTGTTTTTTGTACGACTGACAGTTAAAATTTGTCAATTTTCACGCTTATCGGTTAATTTTTTTGGTTGTTTTACGGCTAACTATTAACCCCATTGAGACTCTCGCGAACTCGGAGAGGAAGTGGCGAACTTGAAGGGGACGAAATTATGCGATGGCTTGTTAACAAACTTACCCAAAAAAATAAATTTAGCCTTAATCTTTTTTTTTAAGTATTCGGGGGAATTTTTTTTAATGGCATTGCGTGGTGACATAAGAAGAACTTTAAGAAATTGGCAATTTAACGAAAATTGACCAGTGAGCCTCGACTTCATACACTAGAAAGAGCTTACTTGCTCACTGATGGGCCATTACCTTTTTTGTTCAAATCCACAGCTATAAGTGGGTTGTACCATTTACATACAACACGAAAACCTCCGCTGTTACAGTGTCCAAGCCTCTTAATATGACTTCTGGTAAGACAGGCTCGTTAGTTCTGATAAGTTAATGATTATAATGACAATGATCATAATGCCTGGTTAGCTAATGTTGTAGAGCGCTAGACTGCTGTGCAGGAAGGTAAAAAGTTTAAGCCCAAGATCGGACCAACAGTCAGGGTCTTTGGTTGGGGTTATGGAAGAATGCAGGCATAGAATGTGCTTCCTTTGGTATGACATCTACAAATGGTTGGACGTACTAGTCTTCTCAGATCACTGTGGAGGATAAACCGTAAGCTCCGTCTCCTGCATCTTCTTCGTGCTGTTTAGCAGGGGGCGTTAGAGGACTAACGCTCTTCTCTCAAATAGTTGAGATCGTAGTTACCGGCGTTGTGGTCTGAGCTTGTTTCCAAAATTCCAAAATTTTCCAACTTTGGGGCACCTGAAAAATTTTCTTTCAAAATCTTGACCTGCTCAATGTAGTCTGGTCCACGTCTCCTGCATAGTGTTGGAAAGCACATCACAGAACAGTGAAATGGATAATGCGGTGTATAAAACGAAGAAAAAGATGCCACATCATCTTTGCCTCTGGCTTCCATAAAGTAGGACAACTCTTTTGTTTTGTAAACTTCCCATGGGAACCTTGTTAAGCGTAAAAACTGTGGTCATGGAAACAATTGTGGCTTTGGTGCTCTACAACATAATTACAAAAAAAACTGCAACAATAACAGCGAAAACAAATAAAGCTGAGCCCTGACAATTGGCTATTGGAGTACATTGTGTACTCGACTTTACTTTGTTAGGTGATAGCCATACAATCAATAAACACGAACAATCAGAAGAATGTGATATCTATTTATTGGAGGTTGTCGTTGGAACTTAATACGATTCTTTTTTGCAAATGATTTACTGTAGTTTTTGTCAGTGATTCAGCAAATAAGGTTTTAAATCTGACGCAACCCCTG